ATATAAAAAATTTACAAAAAAGTAAAAATTATAGTAGAAAAAAGAAATATCTTTTTACTCAAAATAGAAAATAAAAATAACTTTTTTCTCTTTCTGTATTCAAGAATAAGAAAAGAAAAAGAAAAAGAAATTGAATAGATGGACCAGCAAACAGACTGAAGAACAATTGAATTACATTGGTTTCCCCTAGAAGTCGAACTGTGATGCACTTTATAGTCTGTAAACCAAGCAGGTGGAGAGACTTGTGGTGTTCCTGAAAATTGAGGTTGGCCTAGTTGGGCAAGGGTTAGTGTAAAGCCTCCCTTATCCACTAGATGGCGCTGCTTAGCTTACTGGGGTGGATCGTTGTGGTGCTTGTAGGTGTGTATCCACCTGGGTGGGAGGGATGACAATGGCATCACCCAGCTACCCAGTCTCTAGTATCGGAACTCTGTACTCTCCCTGACCAGTAGTCTCGCACCCATCCTTTGTCTCTAGCTTCCGTCCACTCTCTGCTTTTACGCTGTCCGTGACCAAGCCATCAGGCTGCCAGGCGGCACCTGCCTCCTGAGTTTTATTTCAGATGCAGCTGTGTTTCCCGGCACCTCTCTTCTGAGGGACTGCGGCTTTGACCTGCTCAGACCCTCTGCGGGAGGGTCTCACCGAGCAGTGGCTGAGTGCCAGCCACACCCAGGAATGTTCACGGGACTGTGCTGCTGCCGATGCCCAGAGACTGCGGCTGGGTGCCAGCCCACCCCAGAAAAAGTTCATGCGGTCGTGGAGTGGCAGCGTTTCAGGGATTGTGGAAAATCACAACACACACCTGGAACCAGGCTTCACCCTTAACGTCCTCACTCCAACATCAGCAAATGTGACTGTTCTCCGGGGTCCTCTGGGACCTTTGCCTGTTGGGTGGCCACACAGCCTCTACCAAATGTCCTCCCAGCGGGGGACCTGCCTCTTCCCGTGTGGCCCTCGGACCTCGCTCTCTGCTCCTGGGGATTCGCCCTTCCCACCAGAGCACTGCCCGGTAACAAGCTGTGGAGTTTCAGACTCTGCGCTCCCCCTGTTTATAGAGTCTTACTGGAACTTAAAACCTCTCCTTTCTCCTTTTTCCCTTTTTAGTTCAGTCACTGTGGCTGTTTCCACTTTTCTACTTTCTCTCCAGCTACTTTTGGGGAGGGGTGCTTTTCCCATATTCTCCCCCAACCCACCTGTCTCCATCCTGTCTCTGCACGCAATAGCGGCTCCCTGCCCTCTGCGGCTTCTCTCTCCCCCACTTCACCTCTCTGTGCCACGTACCTGCTGAGTTCTGTGATTCAGGTTGTGCAGATCGTTGTGTTAATCCTCAAATAAGTTTTCTAGGTGTGTGAGATGGTTTGGTGTTGATCTCGCTGCATTTCAGGGATGAGAGATGCAAAAAAAAACCTTCCATGCTGTTCCACCATCTTGGCCCCTTCTCCTGGGAATCATTGCCTTAATCATGTGACCATTTTACTAGAAAGATGTACCACCGTCTGTATGAGTCTCTGAGTCTCTTATGGGTGTGGGTTAGTAGAGAAGGATGGTAGGAATAGACCTTTAAACCATTATAGTCAGTTCTCAAATTTATGTGCTAAGTAAGAAGGGAGTGGCCCTGATAATCCCAAGGTGTGGATCATCTAACAGCTGTTTCCCATTATTCACTCTTTAGGGGATAATGAAAATTTTTATGTTTTCTAATATACTGTCTTAATTTTATTTGGCTTATGTAATAAAAAGTAAGTTTTGACTTAACTTATTTGTGTTATAAGAGCCAGGAGGAAGAGGAGAAGGGCATTCCAGAAGCATGCTGGTTGATGTGAAGAATTTGGCCTGTATTAAACATTGTTAAAGATACTCAAATTGGGTAAGCCAAATATGGAAACAGAGATTGCTTTAGCTCAGCTCCTTAATGGAGCACTGAATGATCAGGGGCGTATCCTTTCAATTTAAATTTTGGGGAATTATTTTTGAAAACTTTGTATTTATTTTGATATTTGCGCACATTAATGAAATACACAAGGATTGCACATTTGAATTAATTGAATCAATGCAGATTAAGATCATCCACATAACTAGATAACCAAAGTAGATAGCTCAGTAACAAATATTCCAGGTACTTTTTGTCAATAGCAAGGTTTCTTGAATTTGTTTTCCATTTTGCCTAGATTTGCTTACTTCAAAGTAGTCCTAAAATGGCTGCATGAAAAAATAATTACACTTTACATGGCTGTATGCTCAGGCTTTTTTTCCTACTTAATTTTAGTTGAACAGATAAGTTTATACTTCTTTAAATTCTTCATGATGTGATATATTTGAATGCTGCAGTCGGAATCAGAATATATGGGTTGTGTTCAGAGTTCTACCTCTTCCTGCTAGTAATAGGAGGACACATCATGGCTCACTTTTGTGTAATGCTAATTTCAGCTTGATAATACCACTTGAAAGAACTTGAGCTTGACCACAAGCTTGATATGTGCAAACAGTGTGATCCATATTAAAAAAAAAACCCTCCTGATATTATCACAGGCTGGGCTAATAAGAATAAGTATCTCACGAAAAAGAAGATGGTTATCCTTTTCTGATCTGCCCTGTAAAGACTTCAACTGGAATAGTATGTTCATTTCATGACACCATGTTTCTGGGTGGGTCATTGGGAGATGACTGGTATCTAGAACCGTGGCTTTCAGAAATTGTTTGACCATGATAGGAAATATTTTATTTTATTTATTTCTCGAGGTCTATGTATCTGGAGAGAGTGTGTGCATGCACAAGCAAGGGAAGGGCAGGGAGAGAGGGAGAAAGAATCCCAAGCAGGCTCTGTGCTGTCACCAGAGAGCCCGATGTGGGGCTCAATCTCACAAACTGTGAGATCATGACCTGAGCTGAAATCAAGAGTTGGACACTTAACTGAGCCATCCAGGTGCCCCATCTCTGGAAATACATTTTATATCACAACCCAGTGGGGTGTGTGTGTGTGTGTGTGTGTGTGTGTGTGTGTGCGCGCGCGTGCTCACTGTGTATAACAGGAACGTGTCATAAAATACTTAATACATGTAATAACAGTTTTTTAGTTTGATTTATTTAAGTAATTTCTACACTGTATTTGGGACTTGAACTCAGAACCCCAAAATTGAGAGTCTCATGCATTTTCGACTGAGCCAGCCAGGTGCCCCAGGGATAACAATTTAATATATGTGATGCACTATGATATTTTCCATTTACTAAGTAATGTTATGTTATGATCTATTTTTAAAGGATCGGGACCCTGAAGCAATTCAAGAGCACATCCCCATTATCTTGGAAAACACTGATGTGAAATATGTGATGGTTATAATTTAGTGGTTATCATCATCATCATCATCATCATTAGTTGATACTAAATACCACCTTAGTTAATATGCAATTGCTTATCTAATAGCGTGTGTGCTGTTCAGTATACACTTATATGTTGCAAAAAATAGTCATTCCACCTGTCAGAGGAAGGTAGGTGGCTAGCTACGTACACAATTAAAATTACTTTAGCAAGAGCTAGTCTATGTGGAACCACTGCTTAAAAAGAAAAACAATTCTCTTAATTTTGTTTTAACTTTGTGTATCAGTGATGTATTTGTAAATTGTATTGTCATTCCCACAGGGGAAAAGAAGAGAAAAATCAGATATACCTAAAAACTCAGAAACACCATTGTAAACAGACAAAAAAGGAGACTACATTGTACAGTCCATATAATCAAATACAAATTAAATTCCCACTTAATGCTAGCTCCCTTATTTTGTCTACCTCCTGTCCCTTATCAAAGTACTTCTCTCCTGCATTGTTAAGAATCTGAATTCCTGACTCGCAATGACACTTGCAATATATTTGGCTGAAAAAATAGTGGCCATACTTTTCTGATTACATGATGCATTTATTGTTTCCGGTTGTGTGGTTGTATATGAAAGGGAAACTATGGATTGAGTTTTATAAATCCATATTCCTTATATTCCATTTGATGTATCTTTTAGGTATAGCATATGCTATATCATTGTCTTGCTCGACTTTCATCTTGGAGGTGGTACTCTTGTTTTTCATTATACCTGTAATAAAAACACAGAGGAATTATTGTTGGTATAAATCGGTTAAAAGAACAACAGGTGTCATAGCTATATTATTCCGTAAATCGAACAAGGTGAGTTGACTATCTCAAACCCCACTCCTTCCCTTCCCTCACTTTCTGTCCCTTCACTGGTCCAGGATGAGGTGGCACAGCCTACTGGAGCTGAAAGGTGTCCTGAGGCTCACACCCCCAGTAGATGGGTGAGGAGCGGTGGCTTGCTCATGGCAGGCAGTGAGCAAATATGCCAAAGGTGAGGAAAAAGGACACCTTTCGGGAGAAAGCTGCAAGCACAGCCGTGGCCTCCTGGCTCTTAGCGCTCTGCATCACGTGGTCTCAGAGAGTTCCAGGAGGGCCAAGACAGAAGAGAAACCACCAGAAGTGCCGCTCATAGGACTGCTGTGTGCGGTTGTAGAATTTGTGTGCTGCACAAAGGCACCTAGTGGGTGAGAGTGGGCAGTAAGGCTTGAAGATCAGCCTATGTTCTGTTTGCTATGCTAGGAACCCGCAGGGCAGTATAAGCCCACAGAGGGTTCTCATTTCTAATATGTCCAGCAAGGGGGGATATGTGACTAATTCGTTAATCTCGAGGGGCACCTTTTCCCAAATCCATTTGTCCTGAGGGGGCATCTGTCTCCAGTTTGCACAAAAGTGCCATGTAGGCTATTGGTGGCCACACTGGTACCCTCTGCAGTCATGCAGCAGTGTCCCTGGGAATGGCTACGGATCCTCACTTGCCCTCAACTTCCCTTGATGTCCCTAGAGTCGTAGGGAAGGGCAGAAGGTAGGGCTCCTGCTTAGAAGGAGATCTGAGGGAGGTGACTGACAGGTTAGAGATTGGTTTAGGAAGCTTAGGAAATAACTCGGAATTGTACAAGGAGCTGGAAATGTAGTTTTCCTGTGGCTAAAATGCTGAATGTTAATAAAATTAATGTAAAGCACTCCATGTCCAGTAGAATTATTTTACTGTATTTGCAAGTATCCACATCAAGTATTTGCCATCATTAATGTGGACCATTAAGGTTACAGTCCATTTGGTTTCTGGTCTGCTTTGTTTTAGGGTAAGAAGCCTCTTCATCAGACACTAAGAAAGGAAGTGTCAGGGAGGGGCCAAGACTAACACGAGTTAAGTGTTATGATACCATGTAGATACTATTTACTTTGTAAGAAATTGAATCGTTTTTGCATACTGCATATCTCCAACAAATATTCACCTTCTGACTTTACTGACTGTCAAGTGTCGATTCCTGTCTTTTGAGATCAACAGAATTTTCGCTAGTATTCAAACAAAACATGCAGAGCCAAACAAAAGACAAATAACCCGAAAGGATGCCGTAACACTTGCAGATCATCTATGTCTGGACTAATATTCTCTACCGCTAAAACATGTGCATCAAGTGACAATTACAGTCAGGTTCGTATGATCAGGGTTAGGAATGAGGATTTTGCGCGATATACCTGAATATTTTGATGGATATTCATTGTGTTGATATGCTTCGTTGTTTTCATTTGATTCATTTGGCAATCCATGGAGTTTTATGGGTGCTGCAAAATATTTGCAACTATTTACTTATCTTAAAAACTTGTCACAGGAAAATGTAATTACCCTAGGATATAATTGTACTTCCCCAGTGGCTAGTGGTACTTGTTTTTTAAAAGCTTTACTTATTTATTTTGAGAGAGCGAGCGAGAAAGTCGGGGAGGGGCAGAGAGAGAGAGAGGGGAGTGAGAGGATCCTGAGCAGGCTTCACGCTCTCAGAGCCGGATGTGGGGCTCGAGCTCACAAATTCTGAGATCATTAACTGAGCGGAAGTCAAGACTCAGATACTTAACCAACTGAGCCACCCAGGCGCCCCAGCTGGTGTTACTTTCTAAGCTTATTATTGTCCAGTTAATTTTTACTCACCAGAATCAGCTACGTGTAAGTAAAGGTGACAGTCCACTAAAAGCACAAAAATAAAAAAGCAAAATAACTTAGGGCATTTGTCCATTATTTAAATATTTTAATTCTTTTATGGGAAAAAGTTTAACTGTGGCCCACTTATCTGCTCCTCCTCTATCCTTTGAACCAAGGTGCTCTGCTGCCTTCAGGGTTCTGAAGTAGGGCCACTTACTATGAGGTCAGCACACATCACTATGATGTATGGCCTCACAGAGTCAAGCCAGCCAGTGGGGTGACTGAGAGAATGAAGGGGCGGGCCGAGCAGGCTACCATAGCAGCTGTGGAATTAGCTCCCTGCCCTCAGAGAGCTTGTAGTTAGTAACAGGAAGCCGACAGACATCAGTGGTAATGCAGGCTGACTCACATCACGAGAATCCAACAGAGGAGGGAGTAGAATGTAAACAAACAGGAGGGATCTTGTGATCAAAATGCCTGGATTCCAATCCTGGTCCCTCACTTATCAGTTGACGTTCAGCAAGCGACTTGCTTTCTGAGTCTCAGTTTTCTCATCTGTAAAATGGGAGTGAAAATAGTACCTCTTGCATATGGTTACTGTGGTGGTTAAATAAGTTAATCAGTGTAACATTCCCACAGCTGTGTCTGAACAAATGGCAGCTGTTGCTATTATACATGGGAGTGTCTACATCCAGAGTAAACAAGTCCGTACGCTTCTAACCCCCGAGATGTTATTCAGAGACCTAAACCCAAGTGACTGCCTCCCAGAGTTTATTTTACAGAGGCAAAATGGATAATCCCCAAATGTGAAAATGGAAATGAAATGTAGGTGGCATACGGGAAGGTTGTTAGCCCCTTGCCCTTATCCTTGCCCTATCCAGAAGTTCTCATTATGCACGAGGCAGTCTCAGGCTGCCCCTCTTCCACAGTCACGTAGAAGAGAGCGAGCCAGCAGGTCTTTGGACCCTTCCCAGACCCACTGAGATGAAGCATGGGATCCTGCCTGTCCTGTGTGAGAGCAGCAAAAGTCAGCTACCCTTCATGAATCTCGTGTGGATGATTGGTTTCGTACCCACCTGATAGCCCTAGGCTTTTTTCTTGTGGCAGGCTTTTGCTTTATTCCTCCAACACCCTATTCCTGTCTTCTTCCCATCATTCTCTGGCTGTGAATGGCCCTTGTGAGGCCTCGGCCCTCGCTGTGTCTCTACCCTGATTTCTCAGGATTGCATCTCTGACTCATTCCTTCCGTAGTCGTTTGTCTTTAGACCTGGATCGATCCTGCTGTTTGTTCCCTTTTGTCTTCATGTCGGGCTATCGATCTTCCCATGGCACGGATGCTTTCGTCAGTGTATAAGTCAGGATTGTACCAGAGAAATAGAACCAATAGATATGTATGTCATACATACATACGTACATACATGCATATGTGTGTATATCCTATATAGAGAGAAGATATACAGATAGTATATGAGTACGTATATATTTTCTATATATCTGTATATCTCTATCTATCTATCTATGAATTGGCTTACACAGGTACAATTTTTTCTTCAGCCAAACCTCAGTTTTGTTCTTAAGGCTTTTCCACTGATCGGATGAGGCCCACTTCCATTGTTGAGGATAATCTCCTTTACTTAAACCGATTGTAGATGTTAATCATAACTACAAAATACTTGCACTGGAGCACCCAGAGTAGTGTGTGATTGGATAATGACGTACTATAGCCTAGCCAAATTGACACATAAAGCTAACTAAACATTACACCTAGTCTCTCCAAAATTCCCCCGAGGGCTAGTGAGTACATTGCTCCCCTTAGACTTGGTCTGTCTCTTGGCTTTAATATGCCATGTACCCAGCCTAGCTGGCTATCCCTACCCACCTACAAGGATATGGTTCTATATTAATGATATTGACAGAAGTCTAGAGGGAAGCATGGGTTAGACAGCCATTTAATTCTGTTCTCATTTTATAATCCCTCTGGAGTTACAGGTAAGGCTTTAGTAAACAATTAGGCTTGAGGTAAACTAATACTGTATTGGTGATATATAAAACAGTGCACTGCAGACAATACTACGTTGGGAATCTTCTAGTCTGTGATTTTGGAAACTACTTCCCGTAGAGAACTTTAAAAATACAGATTCTCAGGTACCAACCCCCAAGACCTATTAATTCTGTGTCTTTAGGGAGATACTGCATATATACATTTGAAAAATCTTTTTCCTGGTGATTTGGACACTCCTGATATGGTCTGGCCTCCTCGTGTGACTGACTGACAAGGAAATTCTTACGACAGTCTTTCAGCTGATCTATGCAACCTATACATTCTGTCTTTCAAAGTTCTCTTATTTCTAGGAAAGGGTTCCCTTTAGGGTTGATTCTCTGCCATAAGATTAATTATGCGTTGTCCTCTCCTTCACTGTCTCCAGTTGCGCTACAGCTTCCACAAACAGGCTCAGCAGCACTCCCAAATCAGACCAGTCTGGCCTGCAGAGAGGGTACTAGAAGGGCCTCTGTACCCGTATGCAACACCTCCTTACAATCTGACTTTGGAGCATCAATCCTGGCTATTTTAACCAAGCTCTTCCCTTGTTCTCTGTGCTACTGACAGCATCCCTTGCCTTGCTTTGCCACCGTCAGAACCAGGGTTTGGCCTTTTTCTGAAAGTTACTCTTCTTTAACTAACGTCCCGCCCGTGAACCAAAGTTCTAATGGCTGGGTCTCACCACTACTCTTTCCTTCTTAGCCTTGCTGCCTTCCTGTTTCCTTTCCTTTCTGCTGGTTCAGTCTCTATAATCTGGCTCCCACCCTCTTTTTGCCACTGTCACTCTTTTGTGATCTCTGTGCCTTATGCTGTATCGGGGGATAATATTAATTCATACCTGTGCCTCACCAAATTGCTATGAGAATATGAAATAAGCATTCTAGTCTAGAATTGTTTGGCTATTTGCCCAGCTCTCGTAGGTTACTGGTGCCTTGCCAAACTGTGGCTGAGCCTACTGTAGTCCAGTTGTCTCTTTGAAATGTGGTCCATTCTGCATGCAGAGTAGGGAGATCATAGACAAAAAACGTGACAGTGCCTCCTGGCAGCATGTGGCACGTAGGAAAGGAGAGACAGCAGGATCTGGCCTAAGATTGAGGCTGGAGATAGAGGAGACGTGGCTTGATGAAATAAATCAGTGACACTAGTACAAAATGGGGGAGGATATCTGTTTGAACAGGAGAGTGTCATATGAAGAGCTCTGGAAATCTGAGTTAAACACAGATCTACTTACCTATGTACAGTAGCACAGCTACTAAAAACAGTTTAATGATTCGAGGCTACATCAGTTTTCTTTCGTCTTTACGACAACTCAATATGGGACAAGACGTGCAAGGTATCCTCACATACTCCCGTGGTTTTCATTTCAGTTCTAGGCTGGTCACTTCCGGTTTAGATCTCTAGTTTGCACCTCTCCTGTGAAACTCTGTCCAGCCTTCACGACATCTCCAATAGAATCACAAATTCAGTGTTTCCAAAAGAGAGTTCTTTAAAAAAAAATTTTTTTTTAACATTTATTTATTTTTGGGAGACAGAGCATGAGCAGGGAAGCGGTAGAGAGAGAGGGAGATACAGATTCTGAAGCAGGCTCCGGGTTCTGAGCTGCCAGCACGGAGCCCGATGTGGGGCTCGAACCCGCGAACCGGGAGATGGTGACTTGAGCCAAAGTCAGACGCTTAACCGACTGAGCCACCCAGGCGCTCCCCAAAAGAGAGTTCTTGATTCATACCTTCCTCCCTCAGATCTGTTCCTCCTCCTGTCTCCCCATCAATTACCTGGCATCACCATTCACCCAGTTACTTATGTCCATAACTAAGAGTTATCCTAGATTTCTTTTTTCCTTTACCTAGATTTGATTTTCCCTTACTACAGCACCAACTAACACCCTGTTGACTCTACCTCCAAAATACGTCCTGAATTTGAACTCTTCACATCACTCATTCTGCTTCCACCTGAATCGAACCATCAACATCTTTTGCCTGGGCTTCTGTAGGATACTCGTCACAGAGCTCCCTGCCTTCACAACTTGCCAAGATATAGTCTGTTCTCAATAAAATAGTCACAATTATAATTTAAAAACATAAATCATATCAGGCAATTTTCCGGCTCAAGTCCCTGCAGCAGCTTCCCATTGCAATTAGATATCTGAGTTTATTGCTGTTTCCAGTAGGGCACTGTGGGATCTGACCCTTGTCCACCTTTTTGGCCTTATCTCCTACCTCGTTCCATCTTTTTGTCCCTGGGCATGTCCGGCCCATTCATTCCCGGGACCTTTGCATTAGCTCTTCTGTCAGCCCAGGAAACACTTCTGCGTATAATTTCTTGCTTTCTTCCTTGTCATTCAGGTCTCACCTCAATGTCAATCTCTCAGAGCGGCCTTTCCTGACCACCCAAGGATGCTCTGTCATATTACTGTGTTTTATTTTCTTTGTAGCACTCATCATGATCTTATGTTCTTATTATTTGTATGATTCCTTGTATTGATCTGTCTTCTCTATACAACTTATAAGCTCTTTGAAGCTGTGGACCTTGTCTGTCTTATCTGTGTTGTACCACAGCACCTAGTACAATGGTTGACCTTCCCCACTATCCTGTGCTTTGTTCTCTAGTGTCCTGAAGTATATCCAATCATCAGGAGTCACGACTCTAGTCTTCTCTGTGTTCTTTAGCCAAAATCTGGGCTACTTTGATGAGTTTGTAGTACCATCTTCTGAAGACATAGCAGAGAAGCTCCAGAGAAGAATATGCAAAATGGTGATGAATTTTGAAACTTCAAGAGGAACAGGTCATGCCGTTTCCGTGTTTAATATGGAGCAAGGCAGGCTAAGGAGAGCCATCTTAGGTTCGTCACTGGTTTTCATCATTCTCTTGCTCATTTGTGCCGTCTTGCTTTCTCCCCAGTTTTTAGTTATTAATGCTTCTAGTTGGGTTAAAAATAGACTCTAATTCTGGGCCTTCTTTTCTCCTTCTAATGAAAAGCTTTGAATTCAGATGGAAATTGCACTTTTGTCTAAATGCTCAGCAGAAAATTGGAGCTTCTTCTGTGACCTTCTGTGGTTTTATGTATGCTATACTTGCACTGGTGTGATCTCATGCTCGAGGCTATGTTCTGATAGATGCAAATGGCTGGAAAATTCAATTGACTTTCCTTTCATGCAAAGAAAAGTAGTTAAATGTATTATATTCTCCGATTTCCTAGGCATTAGGTTGCAAACAGCAGCATCTTTTCTCTTATCTCCTGATTTAAAAAGAAAGTAGAGCCTTTTTTGTAGCAGTACCACACATGGGGACGTCAGCGGCACAGGATACAACCTCAGTGGAATGTAGTTCCGATTCTACCAGTCCCTCTGCAGGGACTGGCTCGATGTTTCCACTGAAGTAGGTCCTGACTAATCTTCCCTTGCCGTAGGAGTGGTAAGTGTGGCTGTGTTGTTGAGTCTGTTAGTGCGCCTGCTGTTGTTCAGCGGTGCCGTTCTCCTGGTCCCACGTGGGGATCCAGGGATCAGCTCCAAAGACACAAGTGTCTCACACAGTGCCATTGATGACCTGCCTTAATGATCCAGGGTCCATGGTTACTCTTGAGAATCCTTCCTAAACGGTTTATTTCAAATATTTTATTTAAATTGGATTGCATTTTAATCAGGAAGTCATCTAGATCAGGCCTAGAATAGAGTCACTCCTGTTGTGTAAATATTCTTTCCAGAACTCTCCAATGAAGACATTTGTATCTTTTTAAATTTTTAAAAAAATATTTGTTTATTTTTGAGAGAGAGAGAGAGAGAGAGAGAGAGAGCGAGCGAGCATGAGTGGGGAGGGGCAGACAGAGAGGGGGAGACACAGAATCCGAAGCAGGCTCCAGGCTCCGTGCTGTCAACACAGCTTGAACTCACGGATCACGAGATCATGACCCGAGCTGAAGTCGGATGCCCAGCCGACTGAGCACCCAGTTGACCTGAAGGTATTTGTATCTTGCTTGGAAATGGTAGCAGTCTCAAATACAAGATGAAACTATAATTTTCCTTTCCCAGAGTTGATATCACGGTTATAATAGCATAATAGCAGATATTCGTGAGGCTGGACTTGAGAAGTTACTTTTGTTGTTTAAAAAGAATTTCTCATCGATCATTCATTAAATGGTTTTGGCAGCTGCTGAAGATTGTTGCCTAGATCCATTGTTTTGTTGAGGGTTGCAAAATGGTGATTTTTTTTTCTCTAACTTTCTCATCCTTTCTGTATATATTCACTGGAAATTTGCTTTAAAAAAGAGCTTCCCCTTGTTAGCTACTTATGTTGAAATGCAGTCCACATAGGAGAGTTAAGATAAATGCTTGACTAGTTCCCTTTGGTTATCAATTTTAAGAATAAGGGGGTGTTACCTTAGTAACTACCAGTGATGACTATTGATTTGGGCGGTTAATTATGATTTTTACATATTTGATGCATTATAGTCACTTTAGGCATTATTACTATTATTATTTTGATGTTTATTAGGAGCCCCTTCATGGTGGCTTTTGAGTGGAGCTGGAAGTTTCCATCAGGTGACCAAACAGGCAGGTCAGATCAAGAGCTCTTCCAGTGGGATGTCTGGGTGGTTGCTGAGGGGCCACCTCTGGTTACCTGGCCTAAAGCAATATGCAGACTCACAGTGAAGCCATATAGTTCTTTCTTCATGTTTGTTACTGTGTTATTTAGGACTAAGTGATTACTTGGGTACCGATGTTAATCTCCTCATATTTAGTCTTCTTTTGCCTCTCTACGTAATTTTACTACACTGAGCACTATCCACACCCCACTCTTGCCCTGGCACAATGTTGAAAAGAAGTGGTAAAAGTGGGCATCACTCACCATGTTTCCAGTTTCAGAAGAAAGCTTTCAGCGTTTCAACAGAATGTGTGAAATTTGTGCACTCTCTCTACGGACGCTCACCAACAACCCTGCCCTGCCCCGCCCCTGTGCACATTTGTAGATACTTTTTAAACATTTTTATTTATTTTTGAGAAAGAGAGAGAGAGAGAGAGAGTGCATGAGTGGGGAGGGGCAGAGACAGAGGGAGACACAGAATCCGAAGCAGGCTCCAGGCTCTGAGCTGGCAGCACAGAGCCCGACGCTGGACTTGAACCCACCAACTATGAGATCATGACCTGAGCCAAAGTCACTTGCTTAACCGACTGAGCCACCAGGCACCCCTACATTTGTGGGTACTTTTTAACAAGCCATGATGAAGGCTCTAAGCCGCAAGAGCTGCTGGGTTTCGCTACGCTACCATGTATTCAGTTGTTAAGGAGACAATGAGCCAAATGGGCACAGTCTGTTACTTACGAGTACAGCAAAAGCAAGATTAGAAGGTTAGCGTGGTGTCAGCCCTCCACATCCCTGATCCCACAGAACAACAGCCAGAGGGACAAGGTGACAGATGACATGAGCAGTGAGTCACCCTGTCGTGCAGGAGCTGTTTCCATATGACATCCGGTGGGGTGTAGAGCCTGAAGGTTTACTCTAAGGGAGGAAGCATGATGGAAAGTCCCATGCCTCCCCACAGAATAAGGACGTAGTAAGAAACAGTCTTCACCAGACTGCTTGTCTTGCCGTGTTCCACGGACGATCCCAGGGCATTTCACCAAAACTTAGGTCAGCTTGCAGTTGAGGCTTCATTATGGGGCCTATGTGGAGATACCTGAGCTGAGACGTTCCCCATAACCAGAAAGAGAGAATGAAAATTAAGGAAACTTTTAAACTGTATTGATAAACAGTAATAAAAATACTTTGATTTTTATTTACTTATTACAATAAAATTATAGTAATATTGAAGGGGCCAGTGGTCAACTTGTTCTTAGAAATCATTCAGTCATGGTAAATCCGGATTTTACCACTAGATGGCGCGTGACAAAACTCCTCGTCCAATTGGTCAGTACGGAAAGCTTTCTCTAAATGAGAGATTATAAAGCTAATTGTCATTCATTCCGAACTATATATGAATTTTAACTTTAAGTATTGTGCAATAATTATTTTAACAATATTTTATTTTCTGGATTTTAGACCAAAGAAGGATATGGTAAAAACTTGTGTATACTTAGCCTAGATTTACCAATTATTAACATCTTGCTACATTTGCTTTCTCTGTCTCTCACTATGATTTTTTTCTAAAGCATCTTCAGAGTAATGTGTAGACATTATGGCACTTCGCCTCTCAGTACTTAACATGTATCTCATGAGAACAAATCCATCATTCTATGTTATCATACCTAACAACTTTTACGTTGACCTAATATTATCTAATATCTAGTCTGTATTCAGGTGTCTTAGTTGTTCCGAAAATGTCTTTTATAGCTGTTTTATTTTCTATCCAGGATCTAATCAGAGATCACACATTGCATTTGGAATACTTCTTTTTCTTTCTTTTTTTTTGGGGGGGGGGTCCTATCTCTTTAATCTTCTTTAATCTAGAACAGTTTCCCTTCCCTTCCTTTTAAAAATATGACAATTTTAGGGGCGCCTGGGTGGCGCAGTCGGTTAAGCGTCCGACTTCAGCCAGGTCACGATCTCGCGGTCCGTGAGTTCGAGCCCCGCGTCAGGCTCCGGGCTGATGGCTCAGAGCCTGGAGCCTGTTTCCGATTCTGTGTCTCCCTCTCTCTCTGCCCCTCCCCCGTTCATGCTCTGTCTCTCTCTGTCGCAAAAATAAATAAACGTTGAAAAAAAAATTTTTTTTAAATATGACAATTTTATACACATATACAAATATATATATTACTTACATATTAAAATATTTAATAACAATTAAAATATTTACTATGTATCCCTTTACTTCCTCCACATACCAGGAGTCCAGTATGTTTAGGCAAACGATGTAACAACTCTAATTATAAATGTTACCCAAAATTGATGAAATGTAAAAAGTATGTTAATGAAATATCTCTTTCTAAATGCAGCAGTTCTACGTGTCATGTATAATAAAAACCCGCATAGAAGTTTTGGGGGTACTCATTCGTTAGATTATGAGCTTTTAGAAGGGAACAGACTGTGTTTTATTCATTTTTATAATGTCTGCCCAGCATACAGTATATTGAATGTGGCGAGACTCAGTACATGTTTGCGGAGTGAATGAATGGTTCTTTTTTATTGTAGCAAAACATACATAACATAAAATTTAACTTTGTCACTATTTTAAGTGTATAGTTCAGTGGCATTAAGTACATTGGCATTGTTGGGCATGGTTTTCTTTTACTAACCTAAGGGATGTATGTTAATTGCAGAAAAGTTATATCATCAGAAAGAAACACAACCGAACCCCCCATCCAATTCTACCATCCATAGAAAGCCCAGACGTAATCACTCTTAACACGTTGATGTATAGCCTTCCAGGTTTCTTTGTGTACATTCATTCCTGTCCACATAAGTTATAGAAGTGATCGCATTATACATATTGTACAACAACCTGCTCTTATTTCCTTAACATGTAGTCAATATTTTGTCATATTAGTGTTAATATTTACAGATAAGGGTTGTTTTTGATCTGGTTGTAGGTCATCCACTGTTTTTCTGACATATACCTCCAGGAGCCATGCTGATGAGTGGGGGTAAGGACACAGATGAATTCTGTGCATTATTTGTTTTTCTCTGCATATGGTGTATAATAACAACACTGGTATGGGGCCTGAACTTCTGTGTGTAATTTGAGGATTGCAGAAGGCATTAGGCATCTTTTTGCTGAGGCCCATGTTTAGGTCAAGGGTCTGATGACAGCATTGCACCAAGGGAGGGCAGAAGAACAATCTGTCCTTAGAATGGAATGTCACTCCAATCCAAAATCTTCCTCTGGAGAACTTGTCATTCAATGCCTGACTCTCCTTGTTACTGACCTGGGGAAAACACATACTGAGCAACAAAATGCTACCAGAGACTAGACCTTGTCGGTGTTCTCTGATGCCTAGTAGGACCACTGCAGAAACCAACATTAATGAGACTGTTGCTAGGAGACGGGAGAGCCAAAAGCCCATGGCATTGTAGGGGTTCCACGGGAAACCAAGGCAATTTAAGTGTGGTTTAGATCAGAGGTTTAGCTATTAAAATCTGTTCCTTGATGCGCATGTGCTTTTTGACATGTGATGTTTAATATGATTTTACGTTTTTGGAGGAATTTGACGATAATCCCAAGGCATTTCATTTCTTTCCATAGAGCTAATCCCTTCTTCAGAGCCCAGCTCGTTTTCAAGTGGCTGCTCCTGTTTTTCCCCCACCCCTTCAGTGCGACAGCCTCAGAGCTGGTGGAAAGGCAGAGCGCAGGCAGCTGGTAAGTAGCTGAGAAATCTTTTGTAAAATAGATCCCCAAAATACGCTTTGCAAAGTGAACAACATGTTTTGATGGAGTAGAATAATACAGAACGATCTAGGAATCCCTGATTCTAATCACCAGTATTTGGAAGATGGATTAATTAAATTCTAAATGTTCCACAGTCACGTTACTAGTTAAAGCTTGTGTCTTACATGGTAAGTGGGCCGCCGGAGGGAAATCTAGAAATGTCCCCTTGTGATTCCGGTAAGATATTTCCCAACATATGACTTGATGAAGTTGCTACCAAGATGACAAATTGTGTTCGGAACAGTATCTCAGCTTTATGATGTTTGGATGAGGCTTGAGAAAATGGGTTACGATTCAAGATGTTCTCAGATCTGAGTCCCTGTCCCAGTGTGGAAAGAGTATGAGAAAACTGTTACTTGGCAATGGGAAGGATACCATGCCTCATTTTTTTTTTTAATTAAGAAAATCATGTGACTGGATGTCCGTACAGGAGAGAAAGTGAGGAGGGCAGCCTGTAACGTTCGGCTTAATTGCTTCATGTGAGAGACGAACATGTGTTGAAGGGGAAAGATTAAAAGTTGGTTTTAGGCTGAAAAATCGTGAAAATGAAATAATGAATATTGTGGCTGTGCCTTTATTTTGAAAATCATCTATTTGTACTTGTGGACATCGATTTGTACTGTAAAGGCAGAATATTCTCAGTGCCTCTTTATTTCACAAGGGATGGAAGAAGGAGACCAGAGATTCTTATCAAAAAAGCTTTTATGTTTGTTTCTGAAAAGTGTCTGAAAATGTGTAAGATGTTGTGCCCCCTTTTACCTAGAAATTGCATTTGTAGATCCATTTCTGCAAGAAAACAAACCAAAAAAAAAAAACTGGAGCAGTTTATTTCTTTTGAAATTCAGACTCTTTTGACACTTCAGCAGGAAGGAAGGAGGAAAAAAAAAGCATACGTAGATTTGTGAGTTAGATGACAAACAGCGATCAAGGAGGAAACATAAGAAAGAAAAGCTTTAAAGAAAACCCACAAGATGGGCCATTTTTCCAAGCTGAAAATGTCCGCTGGTGGCATATTTTGCACGGGGAGTAGGGAAGAGCGTGCCGAAGGCAGAGGGAGGGGGGCATTGAACTGAGCACTGCGGCAAAGAGAATGACTGACGCATCCTGGGACATGTGACCGTTCTCTGGTGTAGTGAAGAAAATTTTCCAGGAGTCCATCTTGTATAAGAAATTCTACACCTACTAACCTGAAAATAATACTGTAATCTTCTTGTAACTCACACTGAGTTTGTTTCCCTGGATCTCCCCCTGGCCCGTAGGTACATTTAGGCTTTGTTTTGCTTGTCTTTATCCCTAGACTTTCTTTTCTGTGCTCCCACTGTTTTTATAGCCGTCATGAAAATACTGTCTGTCCCCTTTATGATAAAAATTTTGCATATTAATTGTTTAACATTTGCAAAAATTACCCTCAGTTCCTCTTTCCTGAATATGTACAAATGAATGTGTAGAAATGTATATTTGTATAGGAAATGAAAATCATATGTGCATACAGTTTTGCAACTTGCTTTAATCATCATTAAACAACATATGGAGAGCGATTCGTCATTTTCTAAACATTCCATAAGAATGCAGGGTTCTATGGATGCATAATTTCTGATCACTTAAGTGTCCCACTAAATGTCTAGTTATCGAATGTTTGTAGGTGCAATTTTTGCTGTTATCATTTAAAGAATATCTTTCCATATAAATCTCTGTGTGCTTTTCTGGTTTTTGTTTCCCTAGGATAAATTTGTAGACGTGGAATTTCTGGATCAAATGGTATGAACCAGTTTAAGATTTGTCCTCCACCGCCTCCTTAAACACTATCGCCTAATTTATTTATCATATGTGGTGACAATATTATTTCCCAGTTGTTGTTTGCCTATTGATTTTGTGTCATTCATGCAGCTTTTTTTTTTTTTTTCCCCATGTTGCGGCCTTATAATTTTAGATATCCACAGCTATCAATTTTCTGATTTGGGGATTTATTTCTTTTCATTGATGAGTACACTCACCTGCCTTGTTTTCCATTCCGTTGCTTCATTTTTTACAGTTAACTCTGATTCATCTGGAATTCACTTTGGTGTATGGTATGAATTTGGAGGATCTAATGTTGTTTTTTTTCCAAATAGGTCACCAATTGTTTCAGCATCATTTATTGAATAATCCAACCTCCTTCCACTGATTTCAAATGGCAACAACTTCTCTCCCGTTAGCTAGGGCAATAGTGTCCACAGGTCAGCCATTTTCTTTCTGCCCCAGGTGGTCCCTTTCCGCAATAGTATTTGTACCTTCTTGCAGCTTCCGGTAGCATTCTAAAGCATCACGTTCGTGCTTATGCCTTTCAAGGATTCTAGACACATGCAGTATAGCTCAGTGGTTTTCAGACAGGATTTTTAAATTTTAAATACTCCCAAACTGTACTTTTATCAGATGCTTTTTACAAATTAAAACTGAGGGAAGTGAATATATAAAACCACTGTCCCAGATGTCCTATTCCCCTTGGACACAGTTGGCATCCTAATTGTGGGTTCAAAACATACCTCCCACCCCCCGGGGTTAGTGTTACTGGTAAGGATCCTCCTTCAACCTCTTTTTCTACTCCTCAGGTGCTCGGAGAATTAAAGCTGTCTGGACTCAGTTCCTGGAGTTTTCTAGAATGGTATAAGAAGGAAATGTAAGAGCTGTGAGAGGAGCAGAAATAAATAACGCTCGCCAGCCTGTTGCTGGCAGTAGTCTGATCTAGGGATTTAAAGGAGGTAGACTGCAACCGTCTCTTGTAGGTAAGGACACACCCCAGTGCTTCACCTCTTTTCACTGCAGGCGGAAGGCTCAGGCATGAAACAGACTCTTAGTCTTAGTGGGAGAAGAGTTAAGTGTTGCTTACAGAAATATTTGATTATTAAAATCACCTGCCACCCACTGCTGACACCCCCCCCCCACCCCCCATCCCCACGTCTAACACAGCCTTCTTTGTCTCTTGACTTCGGAGTCTGGCCTCTAGCCTTTGCTGATTCAGGAAGAAACACAGGGGGCATTGGGTGGGAGGATGCCTTGCGTGCCTTCATTGCAAGGGGCTCTTTTGGCTCACAGCCACGGCCCGGTCACTTCTTGACTTGTCGCATTAGGCTGTGATTTGTTTGTGACTGGAGGCTGGTTTCCCTGGCAACAGCAGCTCATCAGGGCATGCGTGTTGACTCCTCTGCAGTGGCAGAATGCGGCTGTGGGGGCCGCAGTCACTGAAGGCGCGCTTGTGCAGTCATGATGTCAGTTTCTCTGGGCTAAGCTGCCGTCGCTATTGCATATCGAGTGTTGTGTTATCTTGTAATACTTGGAAGGCTTTGAGCTGCTCCCTTTTCCTTTCAAATTACCTGCTTTCGCTGTATCCAGCAGTGACCACGAAGTATTCCCAGTGTTTGAGGCCACTGATGCCCCCCAGGCCCTAAGGGGATTCATGGTAGTGTGGGCGCAGGAAACCGGCTGCTTGCTTTCAGACCTCCACCTCTTGCTGGTTGCATGGCCATAGGACGATTACTTAATGTCTCTGTGCTTCGGCGCTCTCAGATGTAAAATGCAGATTAATAATGGCACCTTTAGAACAGTGTCTGTTACATAGTAATGTTTGTATGAGTGTTGGCATTATTATTTGTAGATAGTAAAGGACAATTTGCCCTGAAATAGACTTGGGCTGCAATGTACAAACTTACCCTCTAAGGCCCACCGGTCACGTAACACACACACACATTTACCCTTGCAGCACCCACACTCTGCGCATGGCACATGGACAGGCACACAGTCATCTCCTACGTCACTCACACTCCCCCAAAGACACACATATTGTCTGTGAGGCAGAAAGTCTCACGTCAGGGACATAGACCTGCCCCACATGACGCGACTCGCCCTTCCGTAAAGACTTTCCCACGACCCACCCACAGTCCCGACATCACAGACTGTCCCAATAGCACTCGAGCCCTTGGTGTGGCCCAGGCTCTCTAGCAAATACAGACTTACCCCACAGGACACAGACATGTCCTACAGGACACACACCACAGAACATGGCCTCTGCCCACAGCCCACAGATTTCTCCCGGTGCCCCGCTGACTAAATCCAGAGCTGAGATTCTCCCGAGGGCACAGACTCCCCTCGCGTCCCGAAGACACTCCCTAGAGCACGCAGGCGCCCCACTTCAGGGCACGTGGCCTTACCCCATAACACAGATGCGCCCTAGAGCACGTGGACCGTCCACAGAACACAGACGTCGCCCCAGAACATGGTTCCTGACGCAGCTCAGAGACCCATGTGGGAAGGCACGCTCCCCCACGGCAGCTACACTTGCTCCATGGCACAAAGAGAGGCACCGCGGAATGCATGCACACCGCCAGGCCCAGTTCGCTCCACAACAAATACAGTTACCACATGACGCCAACCCTTGCCTCACGGTGCGCTCGTTTGCCCCACATCTGGGCCTTCGCCGGCCACGCACACTTGCGAGACAAGGCGTGCCGTGTCCCTCCGTCAACATACGTGCCCCACGTTCCTTAGACACGCTGCAATAAATAGCCATCCCTCTTCCCCAGTGCACAGCACCGCATCGCAGCGTGCACGTGGGCCCGACAATGGACAGATTGGCTCCACAACAGACACACTCATGCCGCGGCACCACCTAATCTGTCTCCAAGGTGTCCGGAGCCACTCCTCAGGGCTCACACAGCCACCCCTCAGGGCGCAGTCGCAGACGTGATCCAGACTACCCTCACTCATTTCGCAACACGGAGGCCACCCACAACACACAGACCCATCCCACAGCACGGCGGGGGGGGGGGGGGGGGGGGGGGGGGGGGGGGGGGGGGGGGGG